TTAATGAAGAGTTGATTTGTTAAATAAAAAATGTTTTGAGTTCTGTGTTTTGCTTCATTACAAGCAGATTAAATAGGCCAACAAGCACGATTTGCCTGTTTAAATTAATGAAAGCAAAATCAAAGCTAGAATTTCATGACGGTGTGTACCGACAAAATTGAAATAGTGAAACTTTGCAACCAATTTTACTGACAAGATCGCACCCGAGATACGGAGAAATAAGGTTAATTAAATAATATAATTTTCATATCTGTAATTAGTGCGATGTAAACAAATAAGAAGTATACACTCGGAATTTTCAAGTAAACGTTATTTCCATTGTGAGTATCAGTAGCGGTAAGAGGTAATCTGGACCAAAGTTTGAGGACCATTTCATGCAAGTTAAACTTTCCACCTCGAGCCGCATAAAATAAAATGTATGAAGAAAGTGCCGCAAACTTATAAACTTTCAGCTTGAAATAAAGTGCGATTTTTTACATCATGAGGACTGCTTCAGGTCGGGGCATCAACCGGAAGCTCAAAGAAGTAGAATGCTTCATCCAGTAAATAAAGTACGAGTAGAATGGCGCTGTAAACAAATATAATGCACACAATCGTTCAGTTCCTCCGGTATGTCGCACTAAAGTTTTAATTGGATGGCGTGATGTGCTCAGGTCTGAATGCAAACAATAGAACAAAATACCTCATTCAGAAGAAGTTGCACTTCCGGAACCTCCATTATCAGAGTCATACTCATGTTCGGCACGCGTTAGCTTACGTGGCTGCTGATAAAAGTCATGAAATTCCTGCATCAAGAAAGATACAATTCTAAATCAGGTTTCAAAACCTTCCAGTCATTTCAACTTCGTCAAGATTCCAATTTTCAAATATTCTCAGATTTTTTTCTGTGACTAGAAAGATAGTTTCTTTTGCATAAGAAAGGCCTCAAGGTTAAATTCTTTTCGAAATCCTGGAAAACTTTAAACTCTTCCAAATGCAAAAAATGTGGTCTTGAATGACAATTCGAATGTTATAGCGTTTATCGGGAAGCCTTATATGAAAATAAGAAAATTGTAGTCGATAATATTTTTTTGCCGACTTATTGGTTAACGCGATCAATAGAGACAATGGTACGAAGAAATTGTACCCAAATATTTTCAATCTCATATGAAAAATTCGTAAATTCTACTTAACTAAATCCATGAAAGTCGGACCACGCCTGATTCGCGAACGACATTTAAACACATATGCTCCTCAATTCTCGGAGATATTACACCAGGTATGATATTTAAGCACATATACCCTTCGACTCCTTGCATATTTTGCAACAATGTTCACTGCAGTGTTATGACCCGCACATCTATGTGGGTTTCTCAGCCCTCATTGGCATGCATGATCACCGCACGCGGTAATTGCGAGTGGTCACGACACGACGCCACCACAGTTTAAGCTGCTGTTCTACAACTGCCTGGCATTTCTGTTCCGACAAACGAACCAAAAATTACTTCGAAATGAATTACGCACGAGCAAGAAAAAAAAAATGCCGAGACACTTTATACTCTTCGAGGCAACGGGAACTCGACGGGGAAAGATAAAAAGTTTTACGAAGAAATCTCAAAGGGCACGAACTGTCCAAGGTTATAGAAATTGATGGTATGGTCAAAGCTGATATTTAAAAATGCACAGAAACATGATGCATGATTTCTCGTGTAATTAACTGAAGTTACATTCATGATTGATGGTAATGAAATATTATAGAAATGCTCAAGCATCGCGAATGAACGTACACCCTGAACTTCTTGTCCATTAAAACTTCGTGCGTGGAGTTGCTTGAAATGCACACGCAACGTTGAAGTTGGAGTCGCATTCTTGTTTGATGATAATGAAACATTATACAAATGTTCGAGCACCGTGAATGATGTGCACCCTAAACTTCTTGTCCATTCAAACTTGGTGCGTGCAGCTGAGTCTCGAAATGCACGCACAATGTTGGAGTTTGAGCTGCAGGAAAGGCACACCTCATTGCGTTTGCTCATCGGTAATTGAGTTCCAAATTGTTTGTCCGACAAACATGGCGGGGCGGTCTGCACAGACCCTAAGGAAAATTACGAAAAAATTAAGTTAATCCACGGGACAATTGAAGGCAAGAATCTGGCGACCATTTACCTCGGCAACAAGTCCTTGCACGGCGCGCGGCTTCTGTTGTCGCCTCATAAATAATGAATCCAGACTGCAATATACCGGGCAGAGGGGGTGGTCTGCCATGGGCTCAGCTTGCAACCCTTATCCATTTTTTTTGCAAATCAAAGTCAAGAAAGTTTGCTTTTTTACCAAGATTCATTATGCAGATATGGAGATTAAATTACGAATTTCTAAGGCGCAACCAGTGCCAGCGCTGACGACGTCGAGACTCGTTGAATAGATCAATGATTCACAGGAGCCAACGTTTATTGTTGAAAGACACAATACCAGCCTGTATATAGACTAACGGCGATGCTGACAACGCAGTGCCTAAATAGCTATGAGATAACTAAAGTATTTATAGAGTGAGGACAGGATATTAAATATAAATACAATCAATGCAGTCACAATTCAGCTCAATTTTTGCCACATGGGATCACTGACCCGTATTTTGAACGACTGCATATAAAAAAATTTGTTTAGCCAGAAAAAATCGCCTAGCAACATTTTAAATTGCAGCTCTAATATTTGAATTGCAGCTGGTGCTTGTCCCTGACTTGACAAGTACAGAAGCTGGTGCTTGTCCCTGACTTGACAAGTACAGAAGCTGGTGCTTGTCCCTGACTTGACAAGTATAGAAGCTGGTGCTTGTCCCTGACTTGACAAGTATAGAAGCTGGTGCTTGTCCCAGACTTGACAAGTATAGAAGCTGGTGCTTGTTCCAGACTTGACAAGTATAGAAGCTGGTGCTTGTCCCTGACTTGACATGTATAACTTGTCTCCTATAACTGTGCTTCATTATTATGGATATAAACGAAAATTTAGTGCATGAATCAAGTATTGCTATAAGTTTAGGTAGCTGTTGTCCGTATGATATATTAATGATTTGAACTGTGTAATGGCAGCGCACCTGCCAGTGAAGCAAGTACACAACTAGAACAGCAAACAAGTTTCCTACTGAGCATCTGACGTTGAATCAACGTTAATTAAATGTTTAAACGTTGAATGTGCGGCAGTTCAGCGTCGTTTCGCCGTCATTAGTCAAGGAAGATGCCGGTCAAGCACCATAAAGCCCACGCACACACCCAAACTGGCTTAAGATGACCGACACAAGAGCAGAATGTGCATTGAAATTGGGACACATTTCCACTCATTTCTCGGAATGCATGCCCCATGCATACACAAGTCAACGAAGCATACGAAGCGCTAGCATGTAAAGCACGTGTCAATATTGGGCGTCACGTGCCGGCGCGCCGCTGCTACGCTGCGAAACCACTACGGTTTTTTCGCCTCTTGTTATTCACTCTTGAAGTCGTACTCTATAGGGCGAGGTCAATATTGACGAACGGGTTGTTCAACTCGACGGTGCGAGGTCGAGTTGAGGGCAGATACCAAGCAAACATAGTTGATGGTGATAAATTTAATTAATTATCCACAGACGAGTTTAAATACACGGCGGAAGATTTTCCAAGGAAGAGATCCGATATCCGATGACATGTTCCCCACAGACAAATATCTTTTCTTCACCATCAAATGAAGAAACATTCAGGCGTACGAAGTAAACAATACATAACTCTTCTTATAACGAGCCATAGTCGTATAATGGCGTGTCATCGTGTTTGTGTAAGGGCCTCATAGCAAGTACAATAAATAAAATATTTGTCTTCAAACAACGTCTCATCCTCGAGTGCTTAAAACATAAGCCACGCTAAACTGAGCAGAAACCTAGAGTGGTTCCAAGAAGTAGAACACAATAGCCGTCCCAGATAAGGTACTGCTGTTGGCATTTATTTTTCCCATGAATTCCAGGACGCGGTGTACATTATTGAAGTCATCTGTATGAACGCAAAGTGCAAGTAAACTCATTTGTTGACATGCTAGTTACTCGTCCATTCAATGTAGACAATGTGCACAAATTATAGTGGAGAATTGTTTGCCAAGACGAGACGCCACAGGCGCTACAAAGTCAACAAAGCGGAGGGAATTGGCTTCCGTTGAAGGCGTCGCGCGATGCCCCGAAGTCGTGCGGTGTTTATAATCGGTTTGGGCGATGAGGTGCTGGCAAGGCAGGTGATGCATCAGTTTTGCAGCATCGGACCTGACGATAATGACGGCCGTATTCTGCCACCCGACACCCAAATGAGACTAGATTCTATGCACCGTGCGCCTCCACTAAAAAACTCTACACGAAGCAGAGACACTCTTTTTTTGCGAGAAATTTTATACAAGCGAGGTCATTCCATTTAGGTGCTGCATTCAGCTTGAATGATGATGGGATTCTATGGTTTTCTGGGTCGTTTAAATGGCTTTTATAGAGACGAAAAGGTCATTAAGGAACAGTGATGGAATAGGCGAGCGTTTGACAGGCTCCGTTAGCATGAACTCTTGAAGGAGTCTCGATGAGGCGTCCAATAAGGCGCTAAGGATGATCCCGCTCAGGAAATATGAAAGACACAAAAGCTTCAAATGCACACGCCAAAATGAGGTAACGGGCCCAGTCATGTAAACACAGTGACGCGCGCTAGACGCTACGATTTATTGTAGCAATTGTTGAACTTGGTCGAAGGGACATTTGGTGGCAATGTTGCAAAAAAAAAAAGAGAAATCGATTCCATACAGTTATTGTACTAATATTAAGGAAATTCAAAAACAGGTAGAAAACAGGTAAAAAATTTGATATTAAGGTGGACATTATTGATAAATTTCAAGAAAAATGGTCTTAAATTCATTTTATCATCACACTATAAAAATGCAATATAGGATGTACGTGCCAAGTTGTGGCTAACAATGAAAACAGTTGCTTCTTGATAAACATTGACAAGACATAAAACTGTACTCACTTCATCTCTGCTGCCAAAGCAGTCGGATGGATCCTGAACCGCTTGGTGTTCTTCTTGGCAGGTCCTGGGAAGCCACAAGGATCAGTCAGGATCGGTTTAAGCGGTGCCTCTTGCTCGAGGTCGAGATGGTTCAGAAGTGGCCGGTGTTCGCCGTCGTGGCAATCCGTCATAAAGGGCAGAGATTGAGGACCGCTGCACTGAGCACTTGTGTGTTTAACGTCCACAGTCGACCACCGACGACGCGCCTTCAAGATACATGGTCGTCGAGGTTTGAGATCATCTAGCAATTTGTCGGCACTTGTGGATCGGCGCGGGCCCTTCCTATGACAGCTTACATACGACGATTTCCTTATAGCTCCAGTCTTCCTGCTAGCTTGTTCGTCGTAGGAGTTTGTGGATAAGTCCAGCAAACTTTTACACTCCATTTCGTCTTGAGGTTCGTCGAAATCACACACTGAAGTGGGGCTTGATCGTAGACATTTATGTGCGTCCGTTGGGTCTCTGAGAACACATGATGGATTAGGACTTCGTGGCAGATTACTGATACCGTCACATGCAATTCGAGAGTTGACAGGTAGTGACAGAGAACCGCTTGACGGTACGATTGTGTCTGAGTACAAGCGAGCTCTTCCAGAGCCAGAACTGTCACCGAAGAACACGCGGGAAATGTGCTTCACTCGCGGGGCGAATTCTTCGGGGTCGATTTCTGGTGATCCTCCACAATTGGATTCGCCGGAATCAGAATATCCAGAGTCTTGGGATCCCCTTAGGGAGCCCCCTATTGAACTTCTAAGAGAACCGACGGGGGAACGGATGGCCCCGATGGTTGGGGAGTTGGTTTCGTCCCCAGAGCTTGAGGCTTCGTTCGCTTCTTTGCAGGTGTCTAAAACCGGCCCCCAAGGAGGAACGTCGCTCTTAGGATTTCTGTTACATTTTTTTGCAATCATTTTTGAATCTTTTTCAGAGGTTTCGAAAAGAGAATATTTTGAGGAAAGTTTGGGGAGCGAGGGGTTCTCTGAGGCGTAGAAAACCTTTGACCTGCCCCGCTTGAAGGGGGCGGAGGAGGGAGAGGGAGACGATCGATTCTTAAGGGTCATTGTCACGTCCTGTAACGAGAAAATAACAGGAATTACGAAATATATATATATATACAATTTAAGGGACATTAAATGAGGGTATTTTAGGTTAACAGACAGTTGGACCTGCAAACAAAAAAGAATAATTTAAAAATCAGCTACTTCGAAATACAGTTCGAGTGAGCTCATCGATGCGGAAGAAACCCGTGCCGCTATTGATAAAAATTAGATGAGTCACGTTGAGATAAATAGGATGACAATTTTCCTATATACTGGCTTTGAACAGCAATTTCCTCTGTTCAATTCATATGGCTTCGATTTCAGACTAGAAAAAAAAATACTTCTCAGATATAACATGGAGCATTGCGCAGGTTCATGTTATTTATTCAAAACGAAGGCTGATGCAGGCTTCTGAGAAAATAGCGTGAGATTTACCGGCTGCATCTTAAGATTTTCTGAGGGCATTAGAGTGCACTTGTTATAATGCTATTGCTACCAGGATATAAAATTTGTCGCTGAAGTGCATTTGCTGTAGTGCTATTTCTACCAGGACTTAGGACTGATCGGGCGAGCAAAGCGTCAGGGGACGGCCATAAATCCTAATTAGCCGAGGTGTCGAGGAGCTGCAACCTAACCTACAGCGACGAGCTTGCGCTACTGGGAATTAAGGCATATTTGAATCGACTTCAAAAGTGTACGAGAGGTCGAGAATTCAATGAGCTAAATAATGAGACAGATTTGAGCTGAATAAATGGACTGCCTCAACAAGCCCAGTGTTATGTCCGAATAAGCCCACTACTTCTTCCGAGAATCGATGCTCTTAAATTTAATCTTAACAAACGGATCCATAATTCTCGTAGAGCCTCCGAACTCAATAGATCCAGGCAGGACATGGAAGTGTCAAAGTCACCGCAATTCTCATGAATGTAAATTTTTATTTTATCCTTCAAGGGAGTTACACTCCTGAAAAGTTTCAGAATATATGCGAGAACTTTAAGGTTTCTTTGAGGCGCGTCAGTTATTTTTTTCTTGTGTTACCTTGACACAAGTCCAGGTGATACGATGTGACTAGCGAGACCGCTACGCATGCTGGTCAATCTGCACGCATGAGTACGGGATTGTGCGCTTTGATTCTCGCGCATGCTGAAGCAAGTGAATATAATCATGAAAACAAACACATTTCTAAATAAATGGGAATAGTTGAATGAATTCAAGATATATATATTGTAAGAGAGTTGGCCGTTTCGAACGAATGGAATTGGAATGACGTTTGTTTGCAGCACAAGCAGCCGTGAAGTTCATCGTACTGGTCGCGAGAAGCTTTACGCGATATTGAAGCAGCGGTGAACAAACTGAACATGAATGCGTTCGACGAGTGAACGCATGCTAGGTGATCCATGAGCGATGCCAAGTGATGCATGAGTGATGCCAAGTGATGCATGAGAGCCCGTACTTGTGTTTGCAGCTGCACATGATAGTTCCGAGTCATTGCGGGAAAGACGAATCGTAAAAAAGTTCGTCTCTCGTTCATAATGCTGTAAAATCGGCGAGTGCACCAGTTTACGGATGATGGAACTGAGCAACAATTATGCATCTAATAATAATGAGAGATCTGCTTTAAGTAACATCCGAGATCTGAATGACAGATCAGACCTATGAAAAGACACATGGAAGGCATCTGAAGATTGATCAGATCATTATTGAGAGTTTGTATTAATATTGATTATTGAGAGTTTGTACTAAAATGAATGCTCATTGTTGGCGATTTATGCGCAAAAGTTAATGAATTAATATGAAGTTCTATTGAACTAATGCGCAATCATGTAACTATTGAAAACTACAAAGACAGACTCGATTATCTTGACTCAGTTTTGAGGCGTGAGATGCCATGAAGCATCATAATACAAAACGTAGTTAATACTACTGTTTTGAGCATAGTTTCGTTAAAACCACATCCTATCTAAAATGAATTTACCTATTCAAAAACTAACTGGAGTGACGTAATGAACCCATCAAGTGTGAGTGTAGCTAAATTTAAAATCAAGACATTCACACACAATTTCGGCAACCATGCAAGTATACTGGAAAACGACGTACACATTACTCGTATTTAGCATAATAAATTGCGAATGACGATGATATCAGAAATCGCATGGTAGTTCATGAATATTTTTGGCAGCGCAGTTCGAATACAAACCAGTGGTTGTTTGGTCGTGGCTTGTAAGAAGTTTATCTCCCCTAATTTAGCTCTTAAGAAATGCTAACAACGTACATTCTGCGCTGTGGAACAGCGGGGCGAGAACGAGTGATAACCTCTGGTCCAGGGCAAGCAACATTTGGCAATATTTCTTTGGCACGTAATTTGCGCTCTGCAGGGCGCGGTGAATAGCGAGAGACTCGACTTGAAATGAGCGGTCACGAAGGTTGACAAATAATGTGACAGAATAATTCACGTGCCTGGTACTGCAGAAATTATTTCAGATCACAATATTGTGAAAAAGTTGTAGAAGATTTAATAACTCGAGATAAGTTCGAGGAAAAAACGTGTGGGCAAATGTACTCGATGAAAACGACCACATGTCCGTGTTAAGACTTTATCGTTTGACTTGAGTTCTCAACAAAGTTAGACGAATAAATTTATTCATACAAAACAGGAATTGAATCGAGAAGCTGAAAATCAGTTAGAAGGCTATGTAATAATCCTCAATTCATCCATTTATGACTAAACTATGTCCAGAGCGCAGCTTGGATTCGTGAAGCTCGGGTTCGATTCCCATCATGCTACGAGAAAGATTTTAGGGCGGCGCAAGAGCGTGGCCGTTGACGGTGTCATGCAGAATTCTCGCATCATAAAAACCACAAAACGAGAACATAAGTCGCAAGAGAAGCCAGAGGCGTTGCCGGAATAGAGTGAGCTGCAGCCAGGAATATAATGTTATACCCTCAACATTAGTAACGCTGCAGTCAGTGACGTTGTTCTCATATAGCGTTGCGAACTGCTGTCTCTCGGCCCGAGGGCAACCCTCTCGCATCGTTGATACTTCGTACCTTCTTTTTCCAGTTTTCGCCCAGGCGGGCAAACGTTCATAAATATTTAACAGATTTAGTCTCAGAATATTTCGTCCGTCATGCGGAAAAAATGAAAAATTGTTTATACTTCGTCATTCGTAATGTTTCGAATGAAACAGAATAGAACAGGAAACGCTAAAATGGATACATATATAAATTTAGACACGCTTAGCAGATAATAAATCACACGCTTTAATATTTCTGACAAATCTAATCTGACACAAAAGAAGAAACCTGCCCAGCTCAAAGTAGATATAGATGGTCTTTAAAAAAACACGATGATAGTTTGAATCAGTGATTCCGCTCCACGCAGTTAACAGAAACAGCGTTTATTAAGCAATGGGCTTAATACCTCTAATAAAATAAACATTATTAGCATAAATGCTACTTATAAGAACGTAACGAGCATGTAAGTGGGCACGCGTGTTGTTGCTGTAGAAGGTCGCCAGTTGCCACGCCACCCACGGTCACGTGAGACTGCGACATTGTGTTAGGGTATTCTTAGTAATAAAAACGTTTCATTAAAAGTATTCAGTAAGCATCAAATATGTATAAGCAAAGCCTAATTCATCTTCTAAAATTTTCAACAATCAGCCCGATTCCGTTACAGTAATCACAAATCTCTCATGACCAAAAGTTGAACACGGCAAACGATTGCGAGATTCAACACGATCAACACGAGTCTCTTAGTACCAAGTTTTGAACACAGCACTCGAGATGGCGGGATTCAACACGATAAGTCTCTTAGGACCAAATGTTGAATAAAACACACGGAAATCAAAAGAGTATTCATTAAAGAAGAAGCGGCAGCGCCGATGCTATCACGGCCGCTACACCGCACCACGCAACTCATTAAATCTAACGACTTAATCGTGTGTTGTGTTAACGATATACGCTATTCCTTTATGGTATTGGCTGCAGCCTACAGACTAAAGTAGAGATAGAAATGGTGTAATTAATTGGATAATAAAAGAACCATCGCTGCTGTTCCATGATGACGAAAAACTCGTTTCTAGATAAAAAATTTCGTTTTAAGGTGAGAGTTTCACGTGGAGTGAACGAATGTGGTCATTAATTGGCCGATATAACGTAAAAGTTTTGGATACAATATGTATTTATTAATACAAAGGTCATTTAAGTTATGGGAAGATGAACCAACGTAGTAGAAACACACATTTAACCACTTAATGAAGCGAGTGCCGCCCTGTTGATGAAATAACTTCCTTCTGGTCAAGGTGATCGACACAAGTTAATTTAAGCGATGAAAATGTAATTACATTCTATATTATTTCCGAGTTAATGAATTATAATGACTGTGCATCCACTGTAATGAAATGACTATAATAATTAATTGGAATTCAAACGATAAAAATATTCGGAAATTTTTAATTTTCGTGAGTGATACAATATGAATGTGACTATTGTGAAGAAATGATTTTTATTTAGGGTCATCATGTCATAATTTAATTGAATGTACTGTTTGTACCATTGTTAATCAGAACGGATTCCAGTTGGCGTCTCGTGTTAGAATATTGGATTATCAGATAAGCCATACAATTATTTCCAAACGTATGGTGTCGGGCGAATGGTTATAAATATATAAACACGGAGAATCATACTATCGATCCGTCACCAAAACTATGCATGGAGATAACCAAGAGCGATTTCTAAAATTCGGTTTCCGGCTAACGAGAATACCTGAGAATAAAATTAATTACAAAACTATAAAAAGCACGGGAGATAAACTGAACAAGAACACAGAACAGTCAGAACTTATATACAATAACTTACAACCGACGTAAAACTCTTAGAAAATGCGAGTAAATGCTTTTCTTTCCCCTTCGATGAAATTCATCACATGTAATGTAAATAAAAAATATAATTAATCACATATATAATCCTACACCAGCTGATAAGGATTTTGTGTTTCCTTCTATAACACTCGCATACATAATACTAGA